TAAAAATATCATCATAAAAAAATGTATACCCGAATAATTATTTTCTTTATACCTCGAATAGAACTTAAAATTAATAAATTTATAATCAGGAACTTCGTTCCTATCCGGTGTCCCACGACTCCACCCATCTTTTTGAGTAGCCGACTTAAAAATTGGAGGAGGTTATCTTGTTAATAGTTTTACTGATTGCAGTTTAAGTGTCCGTCAGTTTAGTTGATGCAAAACGCTTTCAAGATTTTACGAATTCGCGAATTCAAAACGTAATTCACATTCAAAAGATTTAACTAATTTTAGCCATATACAAACACGAGCGACTATAACTGAACGCAAGCGAAAAGACGAGGGTCAAATATTGCACATAATCCAAATTCCAATCTGCATACGAAAGTGAACCTTGACGTCTATTAAATTGGCATCATAATCGCATAACCTCGTCCATTCAATCGATTGATTCATTGAAATCTGCACTGTAGACGTCGTAGGCGAAGTTCAATTTGCTTTGTTTACGATCTAATATTACTCTGGTATGAATATTTATCTATATATGTAAAAATGAATTGCTGTTCGTTCGTTTCGCTAAAAGTCGAGAACGACTGGACCGATTTGGCTAATTTTGGCCTTGAATTATTTGTGGAAGTCCAGAGAAGGTTTAAAATGTAGATTAATATGAAAATGCCCGGAATTAAATAAAAATAATAATTTTGTTTTCCCTTTGATGTGTCCCCCGTCGGACGGATTCCTTTTGTTTGTTTTAAGTTTATTTTATACAAAAGTTTAGGTCTTTTATTAATCGATTGAGGCACTACGAAGTCTGCCGGGTCAGCTAGTTTGTAATGAAAAAAATTTGAAGTTTATATTACTGAATGAAATCGGCTTTTATCGCTAAATGTTTGCAAAAATAACAAAATTATTAATGTCGAATTGGGATCGTAGCGCATAAAATAAAACTATTCCACTGTTTCACTTTTATTGTTCTCTTCCAAAATCTTCTCTCTTGCTATAATGAAAAATTAACTGACAACTTTTTTACGCCTTGCTCATTTAGTCTTCTTCGCCATCTTGCTTTTCTCTGTCATTCTTTTTTGCATTTCTTACCGTATTCTCTCACTCATCCTAACGCTCCGTTCCACACTCTTTCAAACGTTTTATACTTACCAATCCTTCATTACTCGCGTTCCTATCATATCCTATCCAATTCATACAAAGGATTTTTACATGACAAAAATGTATTTGGTAATTTTACATACATAATAATATAGGTATAATGGGTAAGTGTAATAGAGATGATACTCAATTATGATCTCACTGCCTTCAACATTTCCACAAATCATTTATCCTCGGATCTCTACTCTGCAAAGAGATGTAGGCATTGATAAAAAAAACATTTTGCCATCTTCAATGTTTTGTCAACGAGACCAAAGGATCTATTTAAGAAGTTTATTTATCTTGTCGAAATTATCTGTATGGCTGATTATATTGCACTGAGATGAAAAGCGTCTTCTGACCTCGTTTATTTTGGCTGCTTAGCTCTTATTATAATTTGTGCTATTACTGGTCGTAGGATTTCTTGTGAGTCCGCACGGGTAGGTACTATCACCCTGCCTATTTCTGCCGTGAAGTAGTAATGCGTTTCGGTTTGAAGGGTGGGGCAGCCGTTGTACCGTAAAAAGTGAGACCTCACACACTAAGAACTCACGTTTCGGGATTTTTAGGTCTCTATGGGTGACGATAACCACTTAAAACTAGGTAGGCCGTGAGCTCGTCTACCCATTTAAGCAATAAAAAAGGGCGGTGGTGCCGCCAAAGTTGTTGTTGAGTTGTTAATTTGCCGTCAAAAATGCTGGGAGTCCTCAACAGAGTGAAGTGGTACTTCACGCCTGAACAAAGACTTTTGCTTTATAAAGCACAGGTCCGGCGTCGCGAGGAGTTAGTGCTCCCACCTCTGAGCTGGGGCTCACAAATACCAGCTACTTCCATTTGATTCCATACAGGAGAGAGCCGTTCGGATTGTCGATAATACCATTCTCATGGATCGTTTGGAGCCTCTGGGTCTGCGGAGGGACTTCAGTTCCCTCTGTATTCTGTACCGTATGTTCTATGGGGAGTGCTCTGAGGAATTGTTTGAGATAATTCCATCATCTTGTTTTTATCATCGCACCGCCTGTCACCGGAGTAGAGTTCATCTATACTACCTGGAGCCACTACGTTCATCCACAGTGCGTTTGCAGAGATATTTTTTGCCACGTACCATCCGGGTATGGAATGAGCTCCCCTCAACGGTGTTTTCGGAGCGCTATGACATGTCCTTCTTCATATTAGGCTTGTGGAGAGTATTAAACGAAAGGCAGACGTCCAAGAGCGTCGGTAAACACTCACCATCAAGTGGGCCGTATGCTCGTCTGCCCACAATGGCAATAAAAAAAACCTTCCTGTGCGAACTCAGAACACGTCCTACCATTCTTCTTCTCCATCGCTCCCTCATTGCTGAGGATCGTGACTCCGTTTTAGCTTGTCTACTGTCAGCCTCCATCGGTTCCGGTCCTACCATTAACTACGCAATATTTTTTGCGGGCTTAGCTTTTATTGCACGACGTTGTTCCTTTATCGCGGAAGTCATTAATGAATATGAGTTAAGTACGTATTTCATTACAAAAATTTGTAATTGCCTGGATTCGAACACCGACTTAGTCATATCGCTCGATACGAGTGCACTGGACGTCTTATTTTTTAGGCAAATTCCTACGACTATCTAATTCTGAAATTCTAGAATTCTTAAATTGAATTCAAATTAGTTGAAACTTAATTAAAACCTCGATATGGAATATCGTTACGACCATAAACCTTGAACTCAGAACCTTGAATTGGCGACCTGAGTAAAATTCAACTGTTTACGAAATTTATTCGCGATAAAGTTATTGCCTAATTGGATATGGCTACATTGGAGAGAGAGAGAGAGAAAGAGAGAATACACTTTCTTATAGTCGATAGTGGCATTTACGTTGGGACGTAATCGCGTAAATCGGTAGATCTTTTTTTTTATTGCTCTTGCAGGCCGACGAGCATACGGCCCACCTGATGGTGAGTGGTTACCGTCGCCCATGGACTTCAGCAATCCCAGGGGCAGAACCAAGCCGCTGCCTACCGTCAAGTCTCCACAAGCCTCGTTGGAAGAAGGACATGTCATAGCGCTCGGGAAGCACCTTGGAGAGAGCTCATTCCAAAGTCGGATGGTACGTGGCAAAAAATATCTCTGGAAACGCACTGTGGATGAACGCAGTGGCTCCAGGTACTATGTATGTGCTAAAGATCTTGGTTATTTGGAGCTGTCTTGATTATTAGGGTGTGTAGGTACCGACATTGGCCCCGAAACCGTTATACAATAATTCTTTATGTAGGTCAGTATAGTAACCATAAAACCCTATATAGAATTCAACCTTGTGTCTACAAGTGAGCGACTAAATTGTTACATCTATAAAAACCCCTAATTACTTAAAACTAGGTGCGTCCTGTGTGATTAGTGCGAGTGTTTTAACGTTCTCGATAGCGTGAACGTTAACTCAAATTTGTATGCAGTTGGAACAGCGCCCCTAGCGGTAAACGTAGGCAAACGTTTCAACTCCTTACAAATCTGAGTTAACTTTTACGCTATCGAAAACGTTAAAAAGCTCTCACTAAGCGTACTGAACGTGTACGCTCAAAATGAACTGTAAAAAAGTTGATCACGAGCTTCATATATCAAAACGAGCTTCCACCTTAAAAGCTCACATTTGGAACTCCCAGAAAAACAGGTACAGTAATGTTGGCTTTAAATCAAATGTCGGGATTAGGGAAAAAGCAATATATCTTAGAACGGGCTTCGTGGATTCACCGCATTTTTGTATATTCACGGATATAATTTAGTTACTCGTACGTGTTAGAGAGTATTGGTGTGTTTTTGTAATTGTAATACCTCTACCTATTCATTGTTAGCTTAAAGGGAAGAGGCGCTAACTACAACATCATTGAGTTATCCAAAGAGAGAGAGAGAGAGAGAGAGAGTATTCTTTATTGTACACCAAAAAACAAATAAACAATGCGATACATTAAACACAAAAAAGTACAATTGGCGGTCTTATCGCTAAGAACGATCTCTTCCAGACAACACACAAAGATGACACATTTAACTCGAAACATTTTTCTGGTGGTAGGACCTCTTGTGAGTTTGGTGGTAAGACCTCTTGTGAGTTTGGTGGTAAGACCTCTTGTGAGTCTGGTGGTGTTTTTTTTCCTACCGATTCGTTGGTAGCCTAGGGGGATTTTCCAACTACGCTCATACATGTAGGTGAGCTCATGGGTTCGACCTGAGAGAATTTGCTAACACTACTAGCAAGAGCAGTGCTTCGCAGAATCTAACACCGGTTCGGAATCGCGAGCCACTGATAAGATCCGACGAGAAACTCAGTGGACTGTGTCTATGTATTGTGAGTTTTTATTAATGAACATTAGCAAATTATTCCGGTGTGAACAGTGTCGATCGCTAAACGTCCTTTGATTAACAATTGGTCGATCGAGATCTGGGAATGTGATTAGAGAATCGTGAATCCCGATGAGAAGCTTAACCTTCCGTGAATATACCGTATAAATCCAATATGATCTCTACCACCATAAAAAGTCGATTGACGATCGCAATACACCGATACTTTATACTGATGGTAGGACCTCTTGAGAGTCCGCGCGGGTAGGTACCACCACCCTGCCTATTTTTGCCGTGAAGCAGTAATGCGTTTCGGTTTGAAGGGTGGGGCAGCCGATGTGACTATACTTGAGACCTTAGAACTTATATCTCAAGGTGGGTGGCGCATTTACGTTGTAAAAGTCTATGGGCTCTAGTAACCACTTAACACCAGGTGGGCCCATCCATCTAAGCAATAAAAAAATTGGTGTATATTAGATTACATTAGTATATTAGTTCTATATGTGTCGGAGAGGTCAGTATGATTGTAAATTAGGGGAAAGCGATGATGACGTCATTAGTTCAGCAGAGTCCGGCTAATGGTTCGTTCGAGGTCAGTATACGTTGTACATTCAACTGAATCACAATGAGCCGCCGCCATCACCAGCCACTGTCTTACTACTAGTTGTATCTAAAGTAATTTATACTGTATATAATAATAGCTGAATAAGCTCATGTTACTTAAATACATTACTTGCACTAGTCTTGCACAAGACCGACGCTGAGCCCGGAATGTCAACCCTCCATAAACATACTTAAATATAAACTATTCTCGAACCTAATCTAAATTTGGAAAACCGGTTGGTCTGAGACGATCACTTACAAAGAGCTGCGGAGGATCATCAAGCAGACACCAATGGAGAAGGAGACGCTTACGCGGAAATTGCATTGGATTGGTCACATATTAAGAAAGCCCGATATCCACCTATCGAAGAGAGCACTGCCCGGAAAGTGTCTGGCCAAAGGAAGAGAGGCCATCCCTGAACAATTTGGCGTCGCTCGGTGGAGCAGGAGCTGGGCGTGTTGGGCATGACGTGGGAGGAGGTAAAACAGACTGTTCAAGACCGATGTAAAGGGAAGGATTTGATTCGAGCCCTACACCCCACCCAGCAGAGGTTAATAGGATAGAAAGAAGAAGAATCTACATGGTGAACGCACAATCTTCACGAAAGACAGTTTAAGGACGCTATAAGTCATGAAATCTATGTAATAATAAATAAATAAATGTACTAAAGAAAATAAGGCAGTTAAAATGGCGATGGACAGGACATATGACAAGGGAAAGCAGAATGAAATGGACTAAAATTATAACAGAATGGCAGCCACGTGATGGCAAAAGAAAACGAGGTAGGCAAGCTTGAAGATGGACAGATGATATCAAGATGATTGAAGGGACAATCTGGTCCAGAAAAGCTACCAATAGAGAAGAATGGAAACAGCTGGAAGAGCTTATGTGTCACAGGACACGCTGATCACTGAACCGGGAAACCCGATGTATTAGATTTAAGTTAAAACAATTTGCTACCGTGTAAATATCATTGTTTAGCATCAGCAATAAAGGTTTACAACAAGTCATGAAATCTAACGTCAGCTGACTGAACAGATAATTTTCGTCCTTGAATGTTTCGATACTGTCGTATCAGAATTCCCCAGGTCCGTTTTTGTTTTCGAGAGCTGTTCCAGTACACCCCGAACACTTATAATATAAACCCACTCGACCCTATGATGAATGAGGCTCGAAGGATTAAGTGCTCTCGATGTTTTGTGAGTTAAGCTACTGACGGACACTTCAACTGTATTTCACTGTTATTTAATTTTAGAGTTTTCAATGTAACATATTCTGATAGCTTAATAATCAATTTCATACTATTTTTATTCATACTATATGTGAATGAAACCATAATAAGTCATACAGGAATTTCATTCTCCTGACCTTCTCCCAGTCACCCGGGGTCAGCGCAACATCTTTTCTCCTTCCGTTCTCCTCTATCATATACCATTTCTTCGGTCACTCCCCTCTTACACATATCGTCTTTCACGCAATCCATCCATTTCTTCTTAGGTCTACCTCTTCCTCTATATCCTTTCACATTAATAGTTAACATAACACTCTCTTACCAACCTTATTTTCATTTTCATTATAGCATACAGGAATTCGTTGCTATTAAATAATCACCAATCGTAACCCAGTAATTTAAATCAATACTAATATATAAATCTACAGTGGTTTTTACGGATGTTCCGTTATAACTATTGAAACTATCCGACTGACTTAAAACTTGGTATCCATGTAGAAAATATATGTACTTAATGGAAAGGCTAATATTTATATGAGTGTTGCACTCCCTACACCAGTTACGGGGGCGTTAATAATAAGAATTTTTGTGCGGGTGAGAAATAATTATGTTTATTTTCCCAGCGAAGCGGACGAGTACAGCTAGTCTATACTAATATTATAAAGAGGAAAGATTTGTTTGTTTGTTTGTTTCGAATAGGCTCCGAAACTACTGGACCGATTTGAAAAATTCTTTTTCCATTAGAAGCCGACATTGTCCCTGATGAACATAGGCTACTTTTTTTTTTTTAAAAAAATTATTGTATTTTTTTGGTTTCATGTGTGTTTTAATGTTTCCGAAGCGAAGCGAGGGCGGGTCGCTAGTAAACTATAAAAATGGAGACTCCGTTAATGATAACCAAACGAAGGACAATTTTGTAGGGTACATATAGGCTAGTACTAGAGACAAAGCTCCGTACGCCCACTGCAATAGGGGCAGTACTAATCACCAAAGCCAATATTCCACGTCCAATGTTTGTGTAGTACTGACTGTCGAGAGTGGTCCGTATACCAAGACGCATCCGTTCAAATGTCAATAGACATCTACAACGTAAATACCTACCTTCAAACATGAGTTCTAAGTTCTCGGTTTTTACAGTACAACGGCTATCCTTTTTTTTTTTTTTTTTTTTCTCGGGTAGAGGGCCGAACCTCCTACGAGGTCCCCGCGCAAAAGGGGCGCGCGGGGTATGTGAGACTCTACGATCTGCATGGTGTTATGAGCAGACCGCGGGACCAAGGATTTTAGGGCCCACCCACTAAACGACTCCCCTGCACTCTTACACCCGACGTCCGATCCCCTCCGAGGTCAGAACCCGGATGAGGTAGGGGAGTTACCGCGGTCAACACTACAACCAGATGGCGCGGCTCACCCCAAGGACGCCCAGCCGCCGGGCCTTCGAGGCGAATCGAAGGCTCTGAAACGTCGGCCGTCTCGGTACGGCAGCCCGTCGGGCCGCCCAGACGGTGCCGCTGGTGTCCCGGAATACCCCGCTGGACCAGAACCAGCCTGCCGGGTCGGGACGCGATACACCGTCGACCGGTCGCTCTATTTACTCCATGGCAGCGCGCTAGAGTGCTGGTAGCGCGCCGCGCGGCCTCACCCCCTCAGGTCGCCCCTTGACCTTCACCGGGGGGAGTTCGCCTCTTACAGGGGCCGAAGTCGGACAAAAGCCCTTCTGCGGCCCCCGGCTCGGCGGCGACGGATAGGTGCGGAGAGGGATGAGCTCTCCCTCTCTCGTTCCGCCGCCTCCTTCTGCGAGATGGTGCACTCGCAGAAGTCGAGCATCGCCTTCCAGGACTCATCGCTGCCGAGCATCGTAGCCACGACAGTCGGCAGCGACAAGTCCGGTCCTATTTGCGAGACAAGGACACGGCGTTGCTCCACCCATGCGGGGCAATATGCGAGCGTATGCTCGACCGTGTCCTCGTCGCAGTCACAGTGGTGACACTCCATCGTCGGTTCCCTCCGGGCAACGCGATGCAGGTACCGGCCGAAACACCCATGGCCGGTAAGCATTTGCGTCAATCGGAAGGTGAGACGCCCTTGGTCACGGTTCGCCCATTTCGCGAGGACCGGGCGCACCGCCTCGACGGTCCGGAGACCGGCCGACGGGTCCGCCAAGCGGCGAGACCACGCCTCCAACAACGGCTATCCTGCACCCTTCAAAACCGAAATGCGTTGCTGATTCACGGAAGAAATACACAGGGTTTTTTTATACCTTGTAGTCAGACGAGCATACCCGATGGTGAGTGATTACCATCGCCCATGTGCATCAGCAATGCAAGGTGCAGAGCTAAGTCTACCGTAAAAGGGTGGTAGTACCTGCCCGCGCGGACTCACAAGACGTCCTACCAGTGAACACAAGACGTAATAATAAAGAGAAGAATCACAAGACATAATTAAAAGTATTTTTATGGGTTGATCTACAATTTTTTTATTGTCAGTTTTCGCGATTAAAGACGATGATAATAGTTTTAATGATATTCCTAACTTTGGATTCGTCCATGTACCTCAATTCAGATGCAATACAAATAATGTCGTAATTAACGTAGTAACTATGCAAAAGGGGACCAAAAATAAGAACCGTGTCAAGGATACAATCATCCTCGCGAAGGCATCGCTGCGTCGAACTGGCTGACCTAATTCGAGAATGTTACAAAAACACCCACCGATCTTAACACAAAATACATAATTAAGGGAGCGATTCCTACACAGTAACTGAAGTCTTCCTTCAAGTTTAGTTTAAGGAGGGTTTTGTCATAGACAGTTTCTTTCAAAACGTGCGTCTAAATCATGAATACCAAGTATCAATTTTTACAGCGCAACGAAATATCTTTACGAAAATCACCAGAATATAAAATTTATCTTATGTTTTCTTTTTTTTTGTTGGTTTAAATTATTTAAGGAGGCCACCTGATTACGTTGGAAATTTGGCACTGCTGCTCGATCTCCCCGGTCGGAGATCTGGAGGAAGACCCAAGACAAGGTGGAAGGATATAGTGCTGAAGGAGAAGAGAGAATGCAATGCTACTGAAGATGTCGAAGACAGAGCGAAGTGGAGGAGTATAATAAGGAAAGCTGACCTCACCAACATATGGGATAAATAGCTAGGAAGAAAGAGAGAGAGAGAGAGAGAGAGAGAGAGAGAGAGAGAGAGAGAGAGAAATAAAGAGAGAAAGAGAGAGAGAGAGAGAGGATTATTTACGTACGTCAGAGTCGGTAACATAGTTAAAAACTTTTTAAAAACACATTCGCCCTCTCTTTGACGTATTCAAAACCCGTTTTTGCGGTTTCTGTGTGTCCATTCCACATACTCCAGCAAAACCCTAATGTAAAATATCATTCTAATATTCCACATATTTTCTTATAGCTGGGAACAGATCATGCTCGGTAATCCGGTCCCAAATTAGGATTCCCTGTGTTATAGTAACCAGAGACGGACATAAATACTGACATACGTTTAAATATGTAATTCTTGTAAATATGTAAACATGTAATTCTTTAGTATGTAAACTGCCAGTTGATTCTTAAATATCATGGTAAGTAAAATCATCATCTCAAATAAGTTACAACGATAAAAATAGTTTTTTAGACCAAATTCTTTGCGTTTTCAATATAAATCCTTTTCGCGTTATGGAAAAATCATCCAGACGTCATAATAAACATCGATTTTATGATAGACTGATTTTACGTAGCTATTCGTATTAAAGAACCGATTGGCAGTTTACAGACTAAAGAATAACACGAGCAATTCTTCTTGTCATTTTTTTTATAAATCACGAATTTAACGTATTAAATTTAAACATTAAAAATTGTGTAGATATGGTATAGTTAATTTTTGAAAGGTCGTAAAGGTCATATATTTGAAGTATCATTACACATTAATGTGGATATAATATGTTAAAGTTGTTCGAAGTCTGTATGTGATTTCTAAGGTCACATTCGAAAGTGTGTGGGTTCGCGCACTGGAGAGTATTCCAGTCTTGGGTCGTGGCGGGTAGAACGTGAAAAGCATTTCAGCGTGCCTATATATTAATATTCAGTCCACGAAGAACTCAAAACTAGGTTATTGCAGAATTGTGTTCATTTATTTAAGCTTGACGTAACATAGGAAGCGGAGATCTTCAATATTGAAGGCTATTTAATATGAAAAGTATCCAATTAGTCCCTCAACAGTTTGGTTCCACAACGAATTTCTCTGACGATTTTTATGAAATTTTAAAAGAGACAGAACACCTATTATTTTTCTCCAGCATGTTACAAAAACAATGTTACTGTTAATTAATAATATTGTTATTGTCAATCTTCTGTGAACAAGTCATCGCAGTGTCGGAATATAATTGAATGATTATCGACATGAAATCCTAGTGAGTCGTTCTTTAACGGCCGTCTGGTGTAGTGGTAAGTGACATGGTCACTATACAAGAGGGTCGCGGGTTCGAATCCCGCCCAGGGAAGATATTTGTATGATAAATATAAATGTCTTTTCCAGGGTTATGGATGTATATTAAAATATATGTATGTGTATAATAAAAAATCTTATATTTATATCCGTTATCTGGTACCTGTAACACAAGTTCTTTACGAACTTATCACGGGACCAGTTAACGTGGCGTGATTGTTATTAAATATTTATTTATTTATTTTTTTGTATTTTTATTGCGTAGTTAGTGGACGAGATCAAAACCCTCTGGGAAGTTATTACCTGAGTCCATGGCCATCACGACGGAATAGCAGAACCACTGTCCCACATTTTGAACCGGAACGTATGACTACTTCGCGGCAGAAACAGGCAGAATGGTGGTACTATCATCCGTGTGATATCCTATTAATCAGTAACTTTCTTTGCCAATGCAAAAAAAGGATGTGTGGTGTCGTGGGACACCGGATAGGAACGAAGCTCCTTATTATAAAAATATTAATTTTAAGTTCTATTCGAGGTATAAAGAAAATAATTATTCGGGTATACATTTATTATTATAATTTTTTTATTGATAAAAAAAAACTACTTTACAAAGTTATCAACTTTATTTTATTTGCAACTAGTGGACCCGGCGAACTTCGTTCCGCCACACGGTTTTTTCAAACACATCAATCGGTCAACTTCAAAATATATTTTTTTTTAAGAGATTTTATGACCTGGTAACTAAGACCTTTAAGTCATGTCTTATTTTACTTTATATTCTTAATTTTATGAAAAATGATAAAATGGAGTGAAATGAAATGAAGATGATTAATTTGAGACATTAATCAACTGGGATGAAATTTAATGAAATGAGATGATATGGGATGAAATATAATCGCAGTAAAATGGTGGATTCTACTATAATTAACCATAGAATATATTACGTTTAGCTGTCAGTTGCGTTTTGTTATTCCATATCAGTTGCGTTTTGTTATACCACGTTTTATGTCACGTCCCATGGGAACGTGATAAAAAGTATCCTATATCCTTCTCCTGGTTCTAAGCTACCTCCTCACCAATTTTCAGCCTAATCAGCTCAGCCGTTCTTGAGTTATAAATAGTGTAACTAACACGACTTTCTTTTATATATATAGATGATTTATAAAAAATATATAATATAATAAAAAAATGTTATTTTTTGTACGTTATTACAAAGTTCGTACACTGTGTGCATTACTAATAAAAATCTTACGTTACGGACGTTTTTTTTCCTAGTTAGGGTACTCCTCCGCATCGTCCTATAAGGAACTTCGTNTTTTTTGTACGTTATTACAAAGTTCGTACACTGTGTGCATTACTAATAAAAATCTTACGTTACGGACGTTTTTTTTCCTAGTTAGGGTACTCCTCCGCATCGTCCTATAAGGAACTTCGTTCCGAAAACCTACTACTACAAAAATATTCAATAGATATGTCACACATTCATTCGCTTTGCTGAATCTGATTTAATTATGAATTTGCTGCGTAAAAGAGTAATGGGGAGGCACGCGTGCTAGGAATGAGACTGTTTGTCAGCAGGCGAATGCTTAATCTATTTGTCGTGTATTTATATAATCTACTTGTTACTGTTTTTTTATTGCTTAGATGGGTGGACGATCTCACAGCCCACCTGGCGTTAAGTGGTTACTGGAGCCCATAGATATCCACAATGTAAATGCGCATCCCACCTTGAGATATAAGTTCTAAGGTCTCAAGTATAGTTACAACGGCAGAAATAGGCGGGGTGGTGGTACCCACCCGCGTGGACTAACAAGAGGTCCTACCACCAGTAGTACTCAGAGAAACTCAAGGGAACTACAAATGGAAAACGCTTTCGTGTTCCTTGGCGATTTCCAAAGGCAATGATGTCCTATTAACGAAGCTATCGAATAATGAAAAAAGCATTTACATTCACATACAGTATAGCTATCGTATTTTCCGCATATTCTTGATTGGTAGCTAATATTAGAGCGAGTTCAAACCATACTTTCTTAGAGGTAAATATAGCAATAAATAATGTTTCTATGTTACAACTAAATTGATATAATTCGAGTTATTATTATTATGAACTTTTCAGATAATAATGAATACGTGATTAAAATAAATAAGTTTTTATTTTGTCTATATAGATAGACAAGATAATATAGACGGTTAAAAAACAAATATAAATTTTTTGTTGGCTCTTAAAATATCCTGAGCACTACTTAGCTTACCTTTCATGTAATCGTTGTCTGGAAGAGAACGTTTTCAATGATAAAATCGTACATTATTCTTTTGTATGACAACAACACTGAGTATCGTAAGTTTCACTAATAAATCAACAAAAATAAATTTGATCAACTATCAAATTAATTAAACAAAACACGGAAAGTCACCATTAAACGAACCACATTAAATTATAAAAACAAAAAATTTCGCACACGCACTGCCGTAAGTAACATCAAACCTTTTTGCCGTTGTAAAACAATCTTTACAACGCAATAACAGAGCCGCTTTTGAATAAAATCACTTAAACGTTTTGGTTTATAAACGATTGTGTTTTTTTTTTTTTGTGTAACTCCCGGCTCACGGACGCATACGTGCTTTCGCTACGAAATGCCGCAGCCAACTAAAAGCTCGAACTGCAAAGTTCTCACAGATTCAACGTTGCAAGGCCCCGGTCGAATTCACATGCGAGAATTATCGTTGCGCTAGATAGTTTTAAAGCTTTACGATCGTGTAGAGCTTATGAAAAATAAAAATAAAATCAAACAGTAAATAGCTTTCTTCGTTTTGGAGATGTATACAAAATTAAAACTATTTTGTCTTGAATATTTTCTTCGGTTTCACAAATCGTAGACAGAAACAAAACTAATTTTACAGTTTAATTATAGCGGTTTCTACTACTATCATTAGGCGATATAATTGATAGAAGAAAGTCGCAAGGTCTCTTTTTATTGCCCGACCAGACAGACGACATACGACCCACTTGATGGTAAGTAGTATGCCAGGGGCGGAGCCAAGCCGCTGCCTACTGCTTAATAATCTCCACAAGCCTCGTTTGAAGAAGGAGATGTCATAGCGCTCAGGAGCACCGTGAAAGGGAGCTCATCCCAAATCCGGATGGTACGTGGCAAAAATGATCTCTGGAAACGCACTGTGGATGATCGCAGTGGCTCCAGGTAGTATGGATTAACTCTACTCCGGTAACGGGCGGTGCGATGGTAAAAACGAGATGATTACTTCAATATTTTTTATTTATTTTACTATTCGTTAAAGGAGATTATGTGTTCTTTTTTTTATTTATTTATTGCCTTTGTAGACAGACAAGCATACGGCCCACCTGATGGTAAGTGGTCACCGTCGCTCATGGACGTCAGCAATGCCAGGGGCAGAGCCAAGCCGCTGCCTACCAACAAGTTTTGAAAAAACATACCTATACCAAAAAAATTACGGAGACATTTATTGTTTCCGAAGCTTCGGATAGTTAACACAGTTTTGGGGGTCGGACGACTGAATTGTTGCCGTGAAACTAGTTAAAATTGTACTTTATCTTAATTTGGTTATAGCATTTAAGTAAGTAGCTATATATAAAATAAATAAAATAAAATAAAAAAGCCTGTATTTCCTTATCCTGAACTTTCATTTGCAATGTGGTATTTATTTGTTAGTGTTTAGTTAGTT